CGAGCAATCGTCGGCATAGGAGACAATCGAGACTCCCTCTGGTGGTTGAGGGAGCTTTGAAATATAAAAGTTAAACAGTAGCGGGGAAAGGACACCACCCTGAGGAACCCCCTGTTTTATTTTTCGCTGCTTACTCGTTTTGTCTCTGAACATTACCGACGAATGTCGACCACTTAGATAATTTGCCGACCACCGTTTGAGCCTCTGTGGGAGAGAGGAGGCCTCTATATCTTCTAGTAGCGTGGAATGGCAGACGGTGTCAAACGCCTTTGACAAGTCCAACGCTACTAGAATCACTACGCAAAATTATTGCGGTAATATTTGTGGGCGGAAAGAGGTAGGTAGTAACTATGTGGTATATTGCTAAGAATTCCAAAAATTTTAGGTAGGTCAATCAATACACACATAACTCTATATTGAGTATTTAAGTTAAAAAAAATATTTTAGTATTACCTTTTCGTTTCTGTAAAATAAAGAAAAATAATTGGCGATTAACATTTACTAGTGCTTGGCCGAGCTTCTCATGCAATTTTTGGTGTGCGCATTGATGTTGTCACACACCTGCGACAGGTCGATCCCTGACATCCCCCTAACAGGAAGCTCAATTTGCGGATTTGATGCTGGCAGCCGCAACTGCAGGGGGTAGAAATTTGGACGCCAAATCACCTGAGTGGTCGGCAATCCTCAGAATAATTTCGGGATACAATATCGAAAACGAGAAAGTTTAAACATTGATTCTGTTTAATTTCTATATACCAAAAGCAGTTTTTACATTTTGATGGAAATTTGTTGCCTTTTTCTAGAGTTTGTATTAAGTTTGAAAGTTTGAATTAATTTTATGGTTTTGGTTAAAGCGAATAAATCAATTTTTTGATGAATACATTTAGTTTTATTTGTCACCCGAAAAATACCCTTTTTTTCTTTATCAGCTGTACCCCAAGTCCGCCAATTTATTCCTATCTGTACTCCTTTCAGCATTTTAGGTCTGGCAACCCTAAGTTAAACTGCTGGTCATGGGTCAAAACGTGTACATGAAATATTCATTTTGATTGTAGATATTGATTTGAATCTAATAAATCAATACGGGCTTTTTAAGTGACCTAGTAGTACAGGTTGTAAAGCTAGCTGGCGGACCTTTTTTCGAAATTTTTCTAACACCCTAAAATCCTCAGCTTGTTCTTAAAAAAACATTTTCGCATGACTTCCGGTGGTAAAAAATTTTAAATATGTTATTTTTTTAACTAATTTTAGGTTTTTATATGGCTAAGAAAGAAGAATAAGTGGAAAGTTTTTGGAATAAATCAGAAATTTACACCATTTTTATAAATTTTTCCACTTTTATAAAATTTGTATAGAAAATTTTAAAAGAAAATAGTCTCTTATAGTCGTTACTTTCAAAATAACGTTCCATTTTGTATAAAACTAGGTACCATTTAATTAAATCAAACATCAAATTATGAAGATATGACATTTTTTATAAAGAGGCAATTTTTTTTTAAAATTTTTTCTAGACGAACTATTGAAACTTCAGAGTGAATCTAATCCAACTTAATCAAATTTTTTGTGCAATTACGAACATCGAAGTGGTTTTGGAAGTAATAAACAAAGTCTCTAGTCTCTAGTTTCTTTGGAACAAATTACAAAAATTGGTGTAAATTTCAGATCTAGTATTTCAAAATTTTTTCACATACTTCCAATGTGCTCACAAAAATGGGTTTTAAGATTAACTCGAGAATTTTAGGGTATTACAAAAAGTTTGAACGCAGTTTCATGAATTACTCGACCAGCCCTACGACCTGTACTAGGCTACTTAAAAAATGCGTGGTACCATCAGCTAATAACTTAACTTAAAGCTTAACTTAAGCTTTATAAAGTGACATTTTCACATAAATTTTCGATTTATAATGCATTTAAAGACTTTATCTTTTTATAAATTGGTGTGTATAAGTATAAACTATTGTGTATAATAAAAGAAAATAAAACTTTAGTATGTCTTTTTGATTACCTTTCAAGCACTCTACTTTGGTCTTTCTTTAGACACGTGCAGATCGCTCTCATTTTGTAAATTCTGATCATATAGAGAGCACTATTTTCTGTGGTTTTCGTGTAGATTGCACTTCTTTTTAGTATTTTTGGTTAATTTCGAGGGTACTCTAGTTTTTTTTTGTTTGATCATATGGAGAGCGCTTTCCCTTCTAGGTTTAGCTATGTTAAAAGGGAGTATGTTTTGTTCCAAAATTGCTCACAGTTTGATCCCATTTTTCTACAGTGTATGTAAATACTACATGTACGAGTATGTATATTTTCTTCCAAAAAAAAGCAAAAGCAGTAGCTTGTTATAATTTATTGCAAAGGCTCTCGTCGCCATATGATTAATACAACATTAAAAGTGAAAAAACAGCCTAAAAAAAACGAAATATTCACACATGTTTTTGAATAAGAAACACATGCAATCTTTTCTTTGTAATAAATCTAAATACTTCTAACTTAATTGACATTTATGCCATTTTTTAGATGTTTAAACCCCAAAAAGGGTCCAATTTTAGCAAAGTCATTTAAAATGAATAATACGTAATAATTTTAACTACATAGTAAACAAACGATTCTAATCCATACATGAATATAAAGGGATATACTAAACTTAAACAAACAAATTTATTCAATGTAATATGTACGTCAGGGATGTTGCGAATATTTGCATTCGCATTCGTTAAGCGTATGGTTCGCATCATTTTACACATTCGCATTCGCATCAAATGATACGAATGCGAATGTATACCTGAGCAGAGAGTCCACTCTAATATTGTTGTCTAAGTCTGTCTAACAAGGGTGCGGACAATAACCGGCTTTTAGCTTCAGGCGCTAAACGGTTAATTAGTATATTAAGCAACATTGATAGAAATAATTTTGGAGTCTGGAGACATTAAAACATTTGGAATTAAAGCCCAATTGAAGGCCTGTCTTAAAGAAAAGCGAGCTGATCTCGGTGAAAATCCTCTCGATTGGTGGACAACTAAACCACAAGATGACAAATTGACAGATCTGGACCGCAAATATTTGAGCACTCCACCTGCCAGCAGCGGGCCTCTAAGAAATCGCCTCATGAGAGAAAAGGCAGCAAAATTACTTTGTTTGAAATATAATATGCTCCCTTTTGAACTTTGACAACATAGGTAGATTAAAACACTGTATAGGTAAAGCCTTCGCTAAATGTTTTAATAATTTACAATATGTTTAAGTAATAAAAACGATGACTTAAGTTGATTACAGGCTTTTTTTAATGTTATTCCTAACATTCGCATTCGCATTCGCACATTGCATTCCGAAAATTCGCATTCGCATTCGCGAATGTGGAAAATATGACATTCGAAACATACCTAGTGTACGTGCATGTAAATATATTCATGTGTTTAAAACTTTCGAAACAGGAATTCATGGTAATATTAAATACATATGCACGTACTAATTCAAGTGTTTGGTGTGGTTAGAAATTTCTAAACACAATTGAATCATAATTTATGGAAATGTACCAAAAAGTAGTAGCTGATGTTAATATTGTTGTTGAAAATAAAATTTTACCCCAGAACGTGATATTTTGGCATTGTATTCCTGTTGAAATATGTATGCGTTGTGTTATACTTACGGTGACCATAAATATGGATTCAAAATGAAGGACAATTTTTCAAAAATATGCCCACATATATTTACATAGTATAATAATATCAAAAGAGTATTTATGATTCTAAATTCTTAATACATTTTAAACTTTAAAAATTAATCACGTTTTCTTAATCGATATTAATCTTTTTTTACATGAATATTTATAAAAGTATAGTAAAATTTATTATAATTACAATAGCTTACACGAAAAGTGAAAATCTTTAAAACATTATTTTATAGGCAAATTTTGAGTCGT